AATTTCTTACAAACGACCCTTTCTGGCTCGGAGCATGTTGAACCGATGGTGAATCCCTAAGAAAGGTCCAAATGAATAGGCCAAGGAAAGCTGGGGAAAAAGCAGCCCGGCTTTGGTAGGAAATCTGCCCAGAACAATCCTGATTGGGTCATCTGTGTTTGAAGGAGCACCTTTTGTTGTTGCTTTACATGGATACCAAATGCAAAAAACCACCCACTTTGGGGCTCAGGGAATGGTTCTCAGACATTCCCAGAGAATTATGTTCTTAAGAGGGGGAGTTGGAAACCCCTAAGGAATTACAAGCGTCCCTAGCCCTCAGAGCTCCTTGCCCTTGTACTCCATCACAAGGACCCCTACAGCTCCCTCAAGCTCCCCCGCTTCCGCTTTGATTGTGGCCAGGTTGGGTTGGGCTAAACGACGGCAATCCCTGCGCAGGTCACAGCTGCGTGGATGGGTTTTTCCCTCACAAAAAGAGCAAACATGTGGTTTGTTGGGAAGGGAGGGGAGAAGGGTTTACCAAAAAAGGCCAGACTAGACCTCCTGCGCCAGGTCATTTTTTGGTGCAGGGAGAATGACTGGTTCGCCGAAAGGGTCAAAACGGTAAGCCTTCAGTTTGATGCCACAAGAACCCCCCCCAAAGCAAACCCCCCCCGCCCCAAACCCCGAACCGGAACTGGCCTCCGAGCTGAAGGCGTGGGTGAGCCGAGTCCACACCTGGCTCTGATTGTCCGCCTGGAAAGCCGCGCGAAACGAAACCGGGAAGCATCCTTTGGCCTTGCCACGCTTTTGCTTGTTTTTGTGGGGGGGGATCACTACACCTCAAAGAGGACGGGGGCGCTGGGGGGTACATTACGCCTCAAAGGGTTAAAGGGCGTTGGCTCCCCTTGGTCGTTTTGTTGGCCCCCTCAAGTCGCCCGCTTCGGGCGGACCGCAGTCCATGTAGCCCATTACGCCTCACAAGCGAGGGACGGGGGGCCAGGAAGCGCAAACGTCCCGCGTCACAACGTGTCCTGTCTCGAGCATGTGTTTGTTTCAGAGGGATAGTCATGGAGCAAGTTCTCATCTGGATTGTGTGAGTTAAATAATGGGTCTTTGCCACAACTTCCCCTTTGTTGCCGGTTGATACTCAATTGAAATGTTGGAGGGATCGCCACATGATTTACCCTACATTGTTCCTTGTCGAGGGCATGGTAACAAGTATCAAAAGCACGGCCGCGATGGAATTCCTTCATCCTGCACCGGAAAAACTGCGCTCTTGGGAGCTCGGCCCTTGATGCGCTCTAAAGTTTGCATCTAGATCCAAATCTTCTGCTTTTCTTCCGCTCAGTTGGGATAAATCAAGATCCAACCCGCCCAGAAAAAAGAGATCGAAGTCGTGTTCGCCCAGTTGGGATGACATCGCCCGAGGGGACCAAAAGCAACTCCGACATCGCCATGGGCACCTGTCTGGAAATCACCTCATCGGGATCGATCCTTGGCACGGGAATCTACTTGAAACCTGCGGAAAAAAAAGGGGGCAGGTAAGCCAACCCGGTGTGCGAGGCCAACAGAAGACAGGGACAGGATTTTCCCCTTGAAGTAATCCATTTCCAGGCACGCCCATTTGCCACTTTTGGAGCTAATCGAAATGGCGGAATGGCCTGAAGCGGTCCCCAAGTGCCAAGACCGAGTCTTGGAAATAAGAAGCCCACCTTCCTTCAATTCCAAGACATCCTTCACTTTCGGATTCCATGGACATGCTCAGTCCGAGCCAACCCCTAACAACAGCTGGTGGTCTTTCTGATCACACCACCCTCTTGGGCTTGAAGCGAAACGGAAAAAAAACGTGCCGGGTCCTAGGTCAAAAGCCAAATCGTATCCCCAGTGAACATCCCAATCCCCACTAAAATAGGCTCTAAAATGGGTGGTGCGCCTACCCCAAAATGGTACCATTGGTTTTGACCCACAGCCAAAAATCTTCATGAATTTGTCCAGATTGTGAAGGCACCGCTTTAAGCTCTGATACGGGCCTGGATTCTTGCAAAGGTAACTACTCAACCCCACAGATCGATGACTAACACGCAACCCCACCTGCGAAAGAGACTTCTTTGGGACCCCTTTCTGGGGTCTGGAAAGAAGAAGCAAAAGCGGATGCGGCCGCTCCGCGGAGGAAAAAAAAAACTTTCGCCTCGGGCGGCAGCTGCAATGGACATGTGAAAGTGTCTCTGGCTCTGCCTTCAAATGATGCAGGGCGAACTGCATGCTTTTGCGACAGCATAGGAGAAAAACCATCTGTGATGAGAACCCCGATTTCTCAGTCAGGGGTGTGAAGTTGAATTGGGCACCCTTTGGTAGACGTCATTTGCTTGAGGATTTACCTCCACCAACCATCATTTCCCATCAAAGTTCATAGCCATATGTCCCGGATTGCAGAATAAGGCTACCGCTTCGAGGTGCATCTTCGTCAAGCAGCGATTGAATATTTCTCGCAAATCAGAAGAAAACCCTCGAGTTGTTTGCGGCATGGAACAAAACCGCTTGCTCCCAACTTGAAGTGCTGCTGAGAAACCCTGCGCTGCATCCACAAAACCAAACGTGAAAAACTGAATGAGCCTGCCTAAGACCATCTTGCTTGATCTTGCTTGCCTTCACTATTCTTCAGCTTCCAGGTTTGCTTCTCAAAAGGTGTGCTGAAATTCACTTGGATCTGCAAGTTGGCCCCCTTGCCCTCCCATCCACTAACATGGACCCTCATGGTCCCCGGAAGGCGATGTTCCTTTGAAAGGGACGTCTGGTGGGTTCCGTGGTGGTGGACAGGAGGGTACTCTTTTCCAAGTTTGGGGGGAGCAGCTTGAGGTCTGCTGTTCCTCCTGGGCACCCTCCCACTATCTTCCGAACGGAGGCTCTCGCGCACCGTGTAGTAGCCGCTAAAGCAGCAGAACGGCACCATTAAGAAAGGCAGCCAGATCATGCCATTGTCTTCCGTGTTCCTGGAAGCCAAGCAACATGACATGCGAGAGCTGCGAAAGCAAGAGATCGACCTCCAATGCCAAAACGCTATTTTTCATGCTTTCTTTCTCCCCACGCCAACCTGGAGCACCAAGGTAGTCCTTCAAACGATATTCTAGCCATTGGCAATGGGCATTCTCCGGCCGCAAGACCTTGGGAGGCGACTCCACTCCTATTGAACAGAGAAATCATGTTTTTTCTTTCAGGCCCTCACTTTGACGCCGCAAAATGTTCCCAGGTCCAAACACAAGATGACAAGGAACCCTGCATTTGTTGACAGCGCAGGTGGAAGCCACAGCTGGCAGGAAGCAACTTGAAGTGGGCTGCTGGGAAGTCTGGCGCGGACCCAAGCCATGTCAAGTTTTCCGGAAACCAGAAAGCAGACGGGGAGAGAAAGCTTGCTAGCAAGCAAGCCAGCGAGCCAAACAAACAAACAAACAAACAAACACAGAACAAACAACAAGCGAACAAGCAAGCAATGCAAAGGAAAGCAAAGCAAGCAAAGCTGGCAAGCGAGCAAGCAAGCACACGGACGAACGAACAAACGAACCACGAAAGCTTGCACACACACAAACAAAGAGAAACACTGCAATTTCACATAGATTCCGCAAAAGTGGTCGAGCTGGGCCAAGCCAAGGCTTGGCCACACGATTTGGAGAATTGGTCTCGGAGCTTCCGTTGAGAGTCTCGTTTCGCATGTGGTCCTAATGGACGTAGCCACGTTGGCCCGAAATGCAGGATTCGGAAGCACATTCACAACACGTTGCAGGTCAACTGTCCCGTGTGCTACAAGTCATCGGCTGCAAGCCACCATTCTTTCTCATGGGCGAAACTGCACAAGCAGAATATGAGATGTGCCCAAATATGAGGAAACATATCCACACGTCCAGCGTTGATCCTGTAAGCCGATTGACCCATAGACTGAAACTGCATTAACCAGGAGGTGGCGAGAGGCAAAGCTCCCCAAATGGGGGAGGGGTCCCCTAAAGAAAACAGCCAAATGGACAATCAAGGTCTTGGATCCGAAAGCAAGGTCGTCCAGCTTCCTTTCAAGCAAGGGGATCAACAAAGCACTTTCCAAACCGCAGCCACCAGATGGTACAAGTATGCCTCCCCAAACATTTCAGGCAAAGAGCCATGAGTTGAATGGCTTTCCATGCGTCGTTGTGTTTTCAATAATTTTACTATGTGTCGTATTGATGTTTCCCGCGGTCCCTCATTATTTGGCTACGTCATGCTCGTTTGCGGGCGACGACGTCTTCTGCTGCTGCTGTTATCAAGAACGTGAACAAACAGAAAAACAAAACAAAAAGTGCGCGACGTTCGAAGACGTCGCTAGTGAACAACACACTTGACATGTGCCTGGCTTGCACCCTCCAGAAACAGAGTTGCCCCCCTGAGTCGCGCCCTGCCTGCCGCCCTCCTTGCTAGAGACGTACCACTGCGTCAGCACGGCGACACCTGAAAGAGCTGGAAGGCCAGCAGGTCAAAAAGCCATGAGGCTCATCTGGGTGAAAACCAGCATTTGGGGTGAGGTCATGTGAGATCGTTATAATTCACCCAGGCTCATAGAACCCTTCACCCAAAACATGTCATCCAGATTGGGTCAACCCTTCGTTCAAGGATTGAACCCTGGAGGTTGTGGCAGGCTATGCTTCAGCAACCAGGCGTTTGTCAACTTCCGCAGTCTCATCAAAGCCCTTGCCTCGCAGGTGATCCGATTTACCCCCAAGTGAGCTTGCCAACACGCGCAGGCCAAGGATAGAGCATCGATCACATGGGTATGGCATGCAGTGTTTTCCAGACACTCCGATCTAAAGGATTCTCTGGATGTCCAAGCACTTGGCTTAGAAGTTCACCTCGGACGGTTCATGTTTTACGTCCGAATCCAAAGAACTGCCAGAGCCACTCCGATGCTCATTGAGCCAAAGGGCCGGCATTGGTGTAGATGAGCAGAGTGACGACGATGGCCAGGATAACGTCCACCGTGTAATGGAAATGATTCTTCACGATCAGGTACAGGTCAGCGCACGCACAAACCAAAGCGAAGAAGCCTCGAATGTCCAAACGGGGGCAAAGCGCGCGAGAGAAATCATACACCGGAAATTGGACATCCCACTAAGGAACCTTCATGGAGTTGGTCGCAAACTCCAGATAGGTGAGGCCGTGAAGGTTGCAAAAAAAGAATAATGCCCAGACTGAGCGGCAGTGGGTTACAGCCGCCTTTTCATACGACCATAGGGCGATACAAGCTTAAGATGTTGACTGGAATCTCAAAGCAAAAACACCCAACAGTGGGGTCGCCTTTTCAAAGACATCCTATGTGTCAAGAGGCCCTTGGCAAGGGAGTTCAAGTTACCTTGACCTAAAAAAACATGGTCCCTGTTTAACATATCCCGGTTGCCAGTGAACGGATGCCACAAATATCCACGGGTGTGTGAGCAATCAAGCGATCCCAAGAGTCACCACATTACCAAGACCAAGCAGAAGGTCTCCATGTCCCGGCTTCGCGGGTTGTGTTGTGGGCTTTCTGATCCAATGGCAAAAGAAGCGGGTTGATGTTGTCCATTTGCCTCAAGATCCAAATGAACCCCTGTCAGTCAAATGAAAAACAAATCTTGGGTCTCAAAGCGCGGCAGCTTCCACACGTTCCTGTGCGGATGTCAACCAGCATGTTCCATGCGACCAACTGTTCAATCTTCCACTCGCTTGCCAAACACCAAACACTGAAAAACAAACTGCTCGTCGGCCGCCACACGCTAGAGTCCAAACCGCAGGCGCTGAAAGCCAGGCCACCAATGAGAATCCGCAAAATGAATCCTGAGCTGCCAACGAGCGGCCAATCGTCAGTAAACTGCACAGGTCCCATCAATCCATGCCATGTCTCGAAAGACTGGAAGATCAAAGCGACACACAAAAGAAGCTCGAACCAACCGGAAGAGTGGTCTTTCAACAGGTTGCACGCAAGGATATTCAAGCTTTCCTGATTTTCCGGTTGCTCAAATCTTTGCTAGGTTCTGCCTCTAACTTTTAGCGCGCCCAAAGTGAGGGGGCGATGGAAACGACTTTGGCGGAGACATTCACCCAAACAGCACCTGGGCCAATACTGAGTCCGAGAATTTGGGCGTCTTTGCTTGGGTCTGCTTTTCTTGAGGGCACAAAGAAAACAACAACCATTCTGGAGTCTGGAGCGCCTCCCATTCTTTAGATAAAGCTATTCCCAAGTGGGTAAGCCACCCAACCTTCTTAAACAAGTCGGTCACGGGCCTCACGGGATCCCATCCTCGGGTTTTTTGACCATCCCAGCAGTTGGCTGTGGGTCAAGAACAATGGGATCCCATCTTGGTTGGTAGGTGAATTCACCACCCATTTTAGAACCTATTTTAGTGGGGATTGGTACGATTTGGCTTTTGACCCATGGCCAGTCGTGTCGGAGGCTCGGGGCGTCGTGTCCATCAGAAGGGTGGTGCGCCGAACTAAGTCGGACAAACCCAGGAGGTACAGGAGCATCACCTGTGGCTCAAAATAGGGTAACCCCAAAATGGGTTGCCCTGGTAAGTGGAAACATGGACTAAAACCTGCGGTCCCCTGGTGGTTTAATTTTGACCCATACCCACCTCGCCCGGGGCTGGGCAAAGGCCAGGCAATGCCAGCAATTGCTTGACAATGGGCAATTCGAAGTGAAAGAAGGGGGGAATGGCTGTGGCAGCTCCCCACACATTTGCACATTTGCCAACCATCCCCAAAAGCCAGACAAACCAACATGAACGCAACCATCTGGAGTAGCCCCCCGGTCATACAGGGTCCTTAAAATCCCTCACCTTGGGCACAAAATACCAATAGTTCATATTAGGTTTCGGGCTTGATGCCGGTGATTGCGGGGCATGGTGATGCCATGTGGTGATGCTGGGGATGTGGTGATGCTGGGGATGCCAAAGATGCCGCTGGTGATGCCGAAGATGCTGGCTGGTGATGCCAGAGATGCTGGTGATGTCAGTATGCTTGTTCTGTTGAGGAACAGCTCGAAAATAGCCCTCCTCCAACTCTCTGATTCTACGGGTTTCGATTTGTGGTCATGTGCATGGCCCTTGGGTATTCAGTCATTTAATGTTTTGTCGTCTTACCAAAGGGCAGAATGGGAAAGTAATAAATAGAAAAGGGCCAGATCCCTTTGGTTTGTGTGGGACATATCCCATTTAAGTTGGCTAGGTCCAAAAGTTGAAAACGTGTGACATTTCATGTGATTTGGGGGAAAACTCAGAATTCCCAATTGCTTGCTAAGGATGTAGATAACCACAAGCAGCATCCATGAAAGTGGTAAAACATCACATTCACAAGAGGCAGAGCGCTCAAAGGCACTTGTCGAGCACGAATCATCACGCGTCAAGACTATAGACCCTGTTCAATTCAACGGTCACCATTTTGGCGTGGACAAAGACCTCCCCATTTACGCACTCAGGGGGTTCTCTTGAGATATATCCTCAAGCTGAAACCCGGCAGCTCACCAGTAACCGGAAGACATAAAGCCAAGAGGAGAGAGGCGTTTTTTGGGGGTGAAACCTTGGGCCACTTGGCGTCTACCCAGACATCAAGTGGGCCACCCAGCTCCAGTTTCTTATATCATTCATTTATAATACCCACGTACTACCATACTATACTATCTAAACTACTAAAATATACTACCATACTGGAAATTATTACATTATAAACTATTGAAATATACTATAAATACAAACTGAACCATACTGTCGATGGACAAACTCCACTTCGCATCAGTTGGAATGGATAAACCCTATAAACGGGGTGAACCATCTACCAACCGGTGCGAAATGGAGCTTGTTTTGTCCACGCACAAAAAACCACGAGGTCAGCAGTGAAACATTGTCTTTTGGGTTCCCCGTTTCCGTTAGATTTAAAAGGAAACCAAAGGGAACAACACCATTTTGGGGGGGTTGTCTATTTTAAGCCTATGCTAAGCCATTTTTTGGTACCTCTTGCGTACCTTTTGCAAAACGTGCCGCGCTCGCGCTTATACCAAGTGGCCGCGGTGTGGCCACTCAAGAGCATGTCCGAGCAGTATCTCACCGGCCAAATCCCTGCCACGCCCTGCGTTTCGAGCTCCCAGAGCGCCATGGCGTACTTGGAGCCTCATTCAGAAGGGCTGGTGGCTGTTTGTGAGAAAACCCCCCAAAAAAAAACATCATGATTTTCCAGTGGGTGTCCTTTAAACCAAGCCCAAAAAGAGTACCCAAAAAATGGACAACGCCTCCAGTTCCATGAAACCCAGGTGCCAACTCGAGCACCAGGTTTTTGGGAGCAAAACACACACCACAAGCGCAAATTGAACCAACGAACACGTCAGCAAGACTCGCATGGACGTCTGCTTTGACCTGTGCCTTTCCAAACACTGATGTTGTTGTAAGGCTGGGGCAGAAAGGTGGGAACGTGCCAAAGTTTCGGGGGGATCCCGACCAATCCTCATTCAGTGAAGGTGTGTCTGCTCCCCAGATGTCAGAAGAAACCTGCAGTTGACTTTGATCCAAAACGCGCGGATCTTGAAGGGAATCTTCAATCAAAAGCCGTCCCCGAGCCCCTGGAAAGATACCCCCGAATTTGTAATACCATTCGCCTGGCAAGTGCCAAATGCAAGGGCTTGCTAAATGGTGGCCGCCTGACTGGCTCTCTTGTGCCTCACTGCTCATTGCCTCTCACTGTTCATGTGGCAGCAACCTGCGCTCCCGCTGCGGGCAACGAGTCACATGCACGCCAGAACAATAGATGAGAACGGTCATGGCTGCGCATGCCAGTCGAATGCCGAGCTCCGACTGCATGCTTGCCAGCACCCAAAACCACGTGCGCAAGACGTCAGACTGAGAAGGAGACCTCCAAAGCACCCAAGCGTGAGCGCACAGGCTGAGAAGCACGAAGAGCACCGCACTTTCCCACTGCATGCACACCAAGTGATACTCACTCCGGCCCACATGCCAGCGAAAGGAAAGGCACATAACTACTCACACACACACACACACAGACTGCGCAGCGCTGCGCTGCGCTTTTGGCCGCGAGCTCCAAGCATCAACGAACCTGAATCCCACGCGGCAGGGCCCAATACGAAGGCAGAAAGAGTGAGGCACACAAACAGTCCACCGACCTTGTGCTCTGGGGACCTAACTTTCGGAATTGCCATTGGGCCTCCATGACGCGCAATTTCTCCGTCTTTTCCTAAATATCTCATTGAAGACAACTTGCTTGTCGCCTCGTCCTGGCCAGCTTTGACTCAATTATATGAACTGAACTCCTTATTAAAACAAACAAAAATGAGCCGTCCCAACTCATGGACCGAAGGGGTGTGTCGGACGGCACTTGCACCGGAATTTTCAGCACGCATCCGACGTGTGCAACGGGTAAGCTTTGGGGGGTGTCCCAAAAAAATACAACAATCCGACATTCTGATCAGGCTCCGGTGGCTTTTTCCCCTCAAGTTGAACTGAGCCAACTCAACTTTCAGAGATGAGGCGGCATCCCGAAGACAAACCATCCTTAGTGAGGTTGTGGAGCTCCCAGCCAGCCAAGCAGCCGTCCAAGGTGGCCATCTTGCGGAGATATTCCAAGGGCTCGGGCTTTAGCCTGTCACGTTTCGTGCATGCCACGCCGATCACACCAACATGACCTAGGCCCAACCGCGCCCTCGGCCAGAGACAGATCAAAAGAAACAAGAAGACATCAGCCACTTGGTGTTTCGCTCTCTACGTGCGCACCAGTGAGCGTGCAAGTTCCCACCATGCCTAGTACAAACGCCGCTCCCCAGATCTAGAAACCAAGCCGAGACATCACAACGCCGAATTGAAGCACAAGAGAGTGGGGGAGGGGGCAACTTAATTCCACATTCTACGGGACATCGGCCCGGACGTGTAGGTTACCATGGCTCCTACCGGATATGGCTACGAGCCTCACATGTCTGGCCGGGCCTGCGTTCGCACTCGTGCCAGCCGATAGAGTCGGGAATGATGGTGACCCAATCAAAGATGCCTCAGTGCTTGAATTCCCGGACACATCTACAACCGGAAATCCAATGCAACTAGACGCCACATCAAGGCAATGCCTTGGAACATCCAAAACCGAAAAGAATAGAAAACAGCATGGACACCGCTGTTGCAGCTGTACTCAAGGTTGCTTGCTGTCCATGTTGTAGTGAGTCGATGTTCACAGTTTGCAGCTGATTGTTTGCTGTTTCTGGCTGCTTCCTTCTTGCGGCCAGTTCCTGCGCTTGATGATTCCTGCTTGCTGCTATGTTGAGTCGTCGTTGTCTCTTGCGGCTTTTGCTTGCTTGCTGGCTGCTTGGCTGCTTGCCGCTATCCTTTTTGACCGCCCGCAACCGCGCAGAGCAGCTGCGCTGCATCTGTGGCACCATGTGGACGCAAGGCGCGTGACGCACAGGCGGGGGCACAACTCCTGAACAACGCATGGGGCAAAATGGCAATAGCCAAGCCCCAGAAGAAGAAAAAACATGGCGATTAAAACGAGGGAATACCCACAAGTCAACACACTGATTGGAGCTTCGGGCTGCCAATTCTACTTACTTTGAGGTCAATTTCCCGACACACTGACGGGTGTGTTTGCTCAGCGAAACCTATGTCTGGCGTTCCCAGCTATGCGGTACTTCCATTCCTCACAGGCAGTCGTGTCGCTAGAAGCTGTGCTGCGATCGAACTGTGTAACCACTGCGCTGGGAGCTGCCTCTGTACCACAGCGGGCCTTGTCCCAGCTTGGAATATCCCAAATCAGCACACAGCTGGTTCTCTTGGGCTTGCTGTATGGCAAGGGCTGGAGCCGTGTGCAGCATAAGGGATGTCGACCGAGAGTTCTTCAAACTTGCACCAGATGTTCAGACCATCTGTCGGTTGGTCGGTCGATCGTTCGGTCGGTTGGGTGGCTGGTTGGTTGGCTGGTTGGCTGGCTGGCTAGCCAAATCTAGGAAAAATTCTGGACTGCTCTATAGGAATGAGTCTTTGCTTTGCTTTGCTTTGCTTTGGGTGTGACAAGCTTCTGTAGATCCCGGCGGCTTCTCAAACGGCTCACAATTCAGGCCCGGACCTTTCAAGACGAAGAGCATCCCGTTGCTAAAGAACATTTTGCACCACAGCCTGCGCGGGCAAAGACAGCTTGCCCCTTGGCACCAAGACAGGCGCAAGTTGGAGGTGCTCCAAGCGGAATGTGCCCAAGGTGTCTCTGTACCAAGTCAAAGGTGTACAACGGCGTACTCCCAAAAACGGAATGCATTGCCTCAAGGGGTACCAAGTCAAAGGCGTGCTCCCACAAACGCCCTGGGCAATTGACGGATCGCCTGGCTCTGCAGCCGGGGATCCATACCAACGAAAAAACTGCCAGCGGGTGTGGCTCCTTCTTTTGGGACTCGAACCCCCAAAATGGCAAAACAAAACAAAAACCGCCTTCCTTTTGGAGTCCCTTCAAAACCTACAAAAACAGGGTGCCCTCAAAAAATGACACCCCCAAAATGACACCCCCAAAATGACACCCCTAAAATGACACCCCCAAAACCGGGTACCTTTTGCCTCAAAAAACAAAAGACGAGCCGCCCATGTTCCCACCGACAAAAAAGGCAAGGCTTCCAGCCTCAGGTCTCGCAGCAGCAGAGTGCCCATCATGAAGGCCAGCAGTACAGCGCCCGAGATGGCATCCAGCAACATCCTAGCTGAACCATGGGGTTGATGAGTTCCATGAAAAATGAGATTCAATCATGTTGTTGTTGTGTCTTGCTTAAAAAAAAATCTCCTTGTTCGTATGTTGTTCAACATCCCTGGTTTCTCTCAAACGCCTCTCACAAAAAAACCTAGCCCTCGCGGTCCATCCCGGATCAATCTTCATCACGCTCTCCGATTGTTTTCTTCTGAGACAAACGGAGTGCGCAAGCAGTGGAATATGGGCATGCGCAAACATGTTGTCTGCCCTGGTGGGGCGAGTTCAACCGGAAACCTGCAAAGCCGACTATTTGGTACTCATCCAAATAGACGCTATCCTAGAGAAAGGGAACCCCCTCCGCCCCCCCAAAAAAAACAAAAAATGGCCGGTGTCTTTCTTTCGCCATGCTCAGATACTCCCAACGAAATGGCGCAGCTTTCTTAAATGGCGAATCTCCTTCAACCACAAACGGGTCTGTCTTTTCAGATTCGGACCCGCGAAATTTTGGTGTGTCTTAGTTTTCTGCGTTTTTTCACACCCCCTTTTGGGGAGCAACCAAAAGACAGAATTTAAATAGGTGTCCGCATCCCAAAAAAAGGAGGTGAACCACACAAAGGCGCCAGACCCATTTCTCCGAGAGGCATCGGCACATGCTTGTGGCCGAGCACCTGGTGGCCTGGCTTGCGAAAGAAAAACCGGGCCCCCGAGTTGGCCAAAACGGCTCGCCTTTTGGCTTCCTTGAAACACCTCACCAACAAAGAGAAGCCAAACAAACAGGAAACATCTATGTCTCTATGTATACATATATATATATATTGTATGTGTATATGTGTATATATATATATATATTATGTATGTGTATATGTATATATATAATATGTATATATTGTTTTCATATATATATATATTGCATGAGGTGTCGTGACAAGACGCCAACAATCCAAACCGTCAGACTGCCGGACTCCCGGCCTATATCACCTGCCGGATACAGAGCTTCCTCGCGCAAGGCGACCTGACCGTGCGTCAGTGGCTGGCACTTGCTGGAGTCTCCGCGCCAGACTACAAAAGGAGGATGAAGTGTGTTCATTATTCTAGGGATACCTTCCCCATTCTTTCCAGGGATCCTTCTTTTCAGGAAACCAGCAAAAACCCAGGGGAAACAGCCGGTATTTGAAAAGAAAGATGGTTGAAAAGAATGGGGAATCAGCCCCTAGAATTATGGCACATGCGATGCTTGCAAGTCGGAGGTTGCTAGTGTTGTTGCCTGAGCATGTCTTCGCCACAAAGCGAGCTGCAGATCACGGCAAACCGCAAAATTGAACTTCTCAGAGTGCGCCAAATCAAAAATTGTGGATGACCGGAAAAGGCAAAATGTTACCTGTCTAATTTTGCAGTAAAGAACAAAACACAAACCTGTGACAGAATCAGCAACGCCTGCTGCATCTGCGCATGCTTACCGATCGGCGTTTGGGAAAACGTATTCCCAAGGCACCAGTCTAGAAGGACACCTCCTATTTCGTCAATTGAATCTGTTTCATTGTCTGAGGAATGCATGTTAAACTTTCACTTTCATATACAGATTTATTGGTTATAGACAGTTATAGAAGATAAATGATCTTTTACAAATTCATTGAACATATATAATATATAATATTTCTTTTTGTCGCTTTTTGTCTGTATCCCATATAACAACTACTCCAAACTGAAAACAAAATAACTCTGCATTTCCTACAGGAGTTATTAAATAAATAGCTTCATCCTACCTAAGGCCTTGCCTCACTCCATTCGCCTGGGCCTCCGGGCATACCTCACAGTGGCCATGTGCAGCAGCACCTGCACGCTTCCGCTCCTAACATTTCACCCTTTCGGGGGGTCCTCCATTTTCTTGGTATATGGCGGGTGTCCTTTCGGTGTCCCGAACAAGTACCAACCAAGAGTCCACCGTTTTGTGAGACACTCCCATTTCAGTCGGCATGCCGAAGGTAGGGGAAGTTAAAGGAGCCTGACCAAAACACAAGAAGAATCACAAGGGCTTCTTGTGGCCATGCGCTATGGCCCTGTGCTGCCACCTTCAAGTGATCTGTGCCTCGACGCAAGAACCAGACATATGTGGGACAACCTGCCGGGCCATGGGTCCGAATGGGCGCCGCTGGCCCAACCCGTGACTGCGAGCCGGGGTTTCTGCCCAAGCCTACTGCGATCTCCACTTAGCGCTGAAATCTTTAAACAAAAAGAATGGCTTTGGGCTTTGGGAGCTGGATCCTGGCTGCGGTTCCCCGGCTGCCAGTTGTGGGGAGCCCAAACTGGCCAAGACAAAGCCAAATGGGCGTGGGTCAAGAAACCCAAGGCTTGTTTGCTCGTAGGCAACAGACAATTTCTGAGTTGAGAGTTGAAACTATCGTTCCATCAAGGGAAAGAAGTGTGCAGCCAGGTCAGCTCTGTAGGGGGTCTCAGTGGTAGCAAAACCATTGCTCTCATCGAAAGCTGCTCAGGGTTGTCTCTTTGGAAGCGGAGGGCTCGGAACCAAAAAGGTCGGCGTAGCTCGATTCTGTCAAATGGAAAAAGGACAATGCGAAAGCAGGCGCGGAGGGAAGCAACCTTCCCAGCTCCAACATGCTTCGCCTGCAAGAAGGCGAAGGCCACCTATTGACACAAGATCTGGCTGCCCATTGGCACTCATCAAAACCGAGACGCGCAGTAACAGCCCTCCGCCGAGGCACACTCTGCGTGCAGAAGCAAAGGAAGCAGGTGAACGGCGGGAGGAACCTCGCCGTAGAAAGCTGGCGCAAAGGACACGGTTTGCAAAACCCGCAGACGCGTGTGGGGGCGCGTTTTGCGCTCCCGCGCACCGGCAGGGCGAAGGGACCCCCAACATTCACAATCCTCGAAATCTGCTGGCACTGGTGAGCTTTCAGAGCCGATTGCCATGAGCCTGCCGGGATTTGTTTGACTAGCCATCCTTCCGGATGCGAATGTATCCAAACTAGCCGGCGACCCCTAACGCCAAGCATGTTGATCCCTGTCCAAATCCCCCCGCATTTTTATGATTGGGGCCTCTGGGCATGGTGAGGGAGGGGGAAGTACCTATAACAACCCTTCGCATGGCGTCATCTTGAAGAACTACTCGCCGTCTTTTTGGGGGCAGAGGGCGCCCCAAAGGTGCGCCAAATGCCGCCAGCGCCACCACTTGAAGGCGACCAGCGGCTCCCTCAGCCGGGGCTTGGAGCCAAGATGGTCTTTTTGAGGGTTCCCGCTTTTGTGGTGATTGAAGGAAAACCGAAAGGATAGCCACCATTTTGGGGGGTCCGGTTCCTCGAAAAGACACCCGTTTAGGGTGGGCGGGGAATCACCAAGAAAGGGTAGCGTTGTTTGGGATTCGCTGACCGAACGTCTCTTGCGGAGGATCCTTCGGGGCCTTCTTTCTGGAGACGATCCCGGTTCAGCTAAATACTTGCTGCCTCTGACGTGTGTCAATCGAAAGTCTCCATCTTTCTAAGCCACAACCTCCAAAGAGGCGGAACAAGTTCCTATGGAAAGGGATGAACATCCCCAAAGCCGGCACCACATATCCTGATGCGCAGCCCAGCATCTTTCAAGTTCAAGGCCCACGCTCCTTGAGGACTTGCTAAACTTGATCCTCCATTTGGTCGCCTGGAACAAAATGAGAACATATGTCCACAAGTGATAAATTCCCTTTAACACCAACAGGGGGATTCAAGGAAAAAAAAAGTGGAAGTCATTCTCCTGGCTCCTAACACTGATTCCTGGAGGGTGTACCCTAATTGAGAAACCCTCGTCTAGAAGGAATTCATGATTACTGGCCGAAGGCAAGCGAATTCTGGGCACCGATCATGGAGCCGCTGGTAAGTTCCTTGCTGGCCAAGGGGACATGAAAAAAATGTGGTGGCCCGATGTCATCCCGACTTCACCAACAAACAAAACAAGTTCGTTGCTCGCTTCTTGCAGGATGCTCTCCAGGAGTGCTTGTACATACCCCTTTTACATACCCCCTGGACAAATGAGACCCTCAAATTGGAAGCCACTCGGCGCCTACCTCGGTAGTCCCTTCTGTGGCGCAGTGGGTTGCACCGAGCGGCTGGACGAGTGTGGTCAGGGCCTCCTTCACGGAGCCGCCCAAGAATTGACACACAGACCTCAAACGATGAGCCCGGCACGTCAACAGCATCCGGTATACAAATGCAAAAAGCAAAGCACCCGTAAAACACGTCAACGCATACCAATTCAATTGAGCTCAAAGCATCATACACAAAAAACCCTGTACAATATACAACATGATGTTCTGCAGAACTAGATGCAATGATTTATCCATGCATGTGCTTGGGTTTGTGCAAAGACAGAGGCGCGCTGCAACTGAGCTTTATAACGATTCGGCAGAGAAGCACTTGGCAACGCCTTGCACGGATAGGGGTGGCCCCTGTTTGTCAACCTTATTTCAAGGGCATGTGTTGGAGGTATGGATGTTTATATACAACATAAGCTTGCAATATAGTATAATACCCCTTGTATAAGAGGCATTGCACGCTTATGTTGCATATAAGCATCCATACCTCCAACACCCATACCTGAAAATTACCTTGATTATCCGCAAATGTGTAGTCTGCTTGGAAGGCAGTGTGCAACCTTGTCCCATGTGTACTGTCTTGTCTTCAGTTGTGGTGTATCTGTGTATCTATGTATGCATGCATATATGTCCTGCGCGTATCTGTGTCTCTATGTATGTATAATATATATATATATATGTAGTATCTCCTTGCCTTTACGCTTTGAAAAAACCAAAGTCGTCTACGTCCGGGTCTATGCACGAGCACGTATACGTGCATGGATGTATGCATGAGGCTGAAACAACTTTGCGGATAGAGGTTTGGTAAATGGGTGCATTGTTGGATGGGTGAATGGGTGGATGGGTGGATGGGTGGGGGAATGGTCCGATGGTTGGTTCATGGGAAGTTGGGGATGTTGGAGAACGGATGGATTGATGGACACATGAATGGACCCATCTGGATGCATGAATGTATACATGCATGGGATGCTGCAGAAGGGCATGGCTGTCAGGGCCTCCTGCTTGTGGACATGGTTCACTAGATCGACCTCTGCATTCCCCTCGTGGTTTTTCACAGGCAAGCTTGTGGGCACAAAGATACCTTCCTTTAGGTTTCAATCGCGAAATTGGTCAATTTGGGTGTCTTTTTTCGGGCACCCCCACAATGGTGGTTGTCCTTCTGGCTGCCCTTCAAAAACCACAAAGAAACGGGTACTCTTGAAAAAACCACGGCCAGCCACTTGAAAGGCGTTGCATTCTATCCACGTCCAAGCAGCATTTGTGTAGATTGATTCACCTGCGAGGAACCCACAATCAAGCGCGACGGGACGCAGATCCGTTACCTCCCGGTATCTCAGGTTTCGCTGAAGTTCAAGACTTGGCTGTCCGTTTTCAGATCTCAAAGTGACTAACTTGTGGGCTAAATACGGAAACTACAACACTACACCAACTAAAAAAACAAAAACCTAAGGAACCGGATGGCTGGGAACCACTAAAAACAGTGGTTGCATATTGACACCAGAGACAAACAGCAACGGTCAGAGGCAAAAGGTTTCTAGGCACCGTTCTGAGCGCATCAAAAGAAGGCTGTTGGAACCAAACAATCGTTTCAAGCATGTTTCAGCAGGTAGTTGTCAGCAGCTGGTCAAATGACTAAACCGCGCCGCTTTTTCTGGGGTCCGCAACTCGTGGAGAGAATCCAGCGCTTGGTCTCCCCATTCTCTGAATCAAGTGCACAGGTCCAAAGGCAAAAGGGGGGCAGATTACGCAAGAGACCAGCGAACCTCCACAAAACACAAGCAAACATTGCACCAGCATAGACCCCAAATAGCGCTTGCACACCTTAATAGAAGTTAGAACCCCTATAGCTTTCAGCTATCTGGGGAAAGAAACACGAACCGCAAATTCACGTCGGGTCTTCCTCAAGTGGACCACCACGGACGCTTCGACCAACTCCAAGTGGCCTAGCCAGGCGATGGAAGATGCTCGGCAACCTCGTGAGCCGAGCCAAACGGGCCAGAGGAATTCTAGAGTCAGGGAGCATATGGTGGATGATCCATTTTTCTTCTCCGTAACTGGAAGAATATGAAATTATCTTGCCTCCCCAGTGGAGCGATGCTAGCTTGCTAGCTTGACGTGCACAGTTGTAATTGAGCTTGATTGCGTCATTTGATTTGCGTGTGATGCCAGCTTTGCTGGGAGTATGTCGAAATTCGCCCCCTCTTTACATTCTCGTTCAGCCCATCCCTGAGGGTCCAATGTCTCAGTGTTCCCACCCACCTAAAAAATGAGTTCTTCACATGCCTGGCAACTTGGAAAATCATTCCTAGTGACTCGGCACATTTCAAGCAAGTCCTTGCCAAGACGAACACGTGCTTTCTGCTGGCAGGGTGCATACATGCATGTATGTATGCGTGTATGTATGTATGCGTGTATGTATGTATGCGTATGTATGTATGTATGTATGTATGTATGTATGTATGTATGTATGTATGTATGTATGTATGTATGTATGTATGTATGTATGTATGTGTATGTATGTGTATGTATGTATGTATGTATGTATGTATGTATGTATGTATGTATGTATGTATGTATGTATGTATGTATGTATGTATGTATGTGTGTATGTGTGTATGTGTGTATGTGTGTATGCGTGTATGTGTGTATGTGTATGTGTGTATGTGTGTATGTGTGTATGTGTGTATGTGTGTATGTGTATTTGTGTATGTGTGTGTATGTGCATATGTGTGTATGTGTGCATGTGTGTATGTGTATATGTGTGTATGTGTGTATGTGTATCTGTGTATGTGTATGTGTGTATGTGTGTATTTGTGTATTTGTGTATGTGTGTATGTACGTGCATATGTGCATTTGTGTGTGTATGTGTGTATCTGTGTATGTGTATGTGTGTATGTGTGTATGTGTGTATGTGTGTATGTGTGTATGTGTATTTGTGTATGTGTGTGTATGTGCATATGTGCATATGTGTGTGTATGTGTGTATGTGTATATGTGTGTATGTATGTATGTGTGTATGTGTGTATGCAAGTAAGTAAGTAAGTAAGTAAGTAAGTATGCATGCATGCATGTATGTATGTATGTATGTATGTGTGCATGCCAGTAAGTAAGTAAGTCTGTATGTATGCATGTATGCATGTATGTATGTGTGAATGTGTGTGTGTGTGCATGCAAGCAAGCAAGCAAGCAAGCAAGCAAGCAAGCAAGCAAGCAAGCAAGCAAGCAAGCAAGCAAGCAAGCAAGCAAGCAAGCAAGTAAACATGTATGTATGTATGTATGTATGTATGTATGTATGTATGTATGTATGTATGTATGTATGTATGTATGTGTGTGTGTGTATGTGTGTATGTATGTGGGTGGGTAAGTGGGTGGGTAGGTAGGTAGGTAAGCAAGTAAGTGCGTATGTATGCATGTATGCATGCATGTATGCATGTATGTGTGTTGTGCATGTGTGTATGTGTGCATGTAGGTATGTATGTATGTATGTATGTAGGTAATTATGTAGGTCTGTAGGTATGCAGGAATGCAGGTATGCAGGTATGCAGGTTTGTGGGGTGTAGGTATGCAGGCATGTAAGTGTATGCAGGTAGGTAGGTATCTGTGTTTGTATCTGTGTGGCTCGCGCAAATACATCGGATAGGCCCTGAGTGGACAGGCTCGTATGACAATGTCCTTTGATGAGCACACATGCCTCAGGGGCAGTCGAGTCTTCTATCTGGACCTTGACTATCAGGGGTCGCTATGTTTGTTTACCATGGCAACTAAGGGAAATTCCGGCCATGAACATGGAACATTCCTTCTTCTGAAGAGGGACATTTAAGAAGCCCTGACTCAGCCCAGCGCGTGCG